ACTTCCAATATCTTAACCAACAGTTCCTGTAGAATAAAATTAAACAGGCTTCGATGGACTGGACACGTTATTAAAAGACCTATTGACGTTCCATTAAATAAGGTTTTCAAATCCGATTTTGCAGATGGAAAGAGATCACGTGGAAGGCCAAAGAACTCATGGAAAGAGGCTGTTGTAAGAGACATTGTTGCTTTTGCAATCGGAAATTGGCAGATGGTAGCTTGCGATAGAACTAGTTTTAGGGGACGACTAAAGGAGGTCATGGATCACAATTGATTTGTATGGCCAGCGAAGTAAGTAAGTAGTTTAGCAGGGAAATGGCATCAGTGGCCCAAATGGTAGAGCGTTGGTCTTCTGTGCCAAAGGTCCTGGGTTCAATCCCGGGCCATGTCTAATTTTTTAAGCTCTTTTTACATTTCACCGTTCTAGTTACGAAGCTCGGTTCGTGTGTTGGGTGTAGTTTTAAGGTCTTTGGCACAGAGTATGCCTCCTTTGCTAGGTATACAAGGATATACTAGAATCTGGATGACTTCTTTACGACATCTTGCGCACACGAATTGTGACTAGCTATATTGCAGGGTACATCAGGTCTTTTGACGTACTTGTGTCTTCGAAATGTGCAGAGCTTGCAAGTGGTTCGGATCCCACTATAAACTGTAGGTCTAAAGGGTGTGGTACAATAGATTCTGTTTTGATTTGATGAGCTGAAAGGCTGGGCCCTTCACACATTATTATTATTATTAAGTAAGTAACAGTTCGTTATTAACTACAGAATTCTAAAAGTCAGTTATAATTTCAATACAATTTCCTCTCACAAAAACCACGCTAAATAGAAACAAACAAAAGAATTCCAATGAAATAATCAGCAATAGAAGGAAATATCTTAGTTAATTGAACGAAAAATTACACATTCTTCTTTTATTTGATATCATTAGTAGAAACAGATAATAAAAATAGGATGAAAAAACTCTTATTTAATTGAGCTTTTAGAAGGTATTGAATTGTTTATGGATTTCAAGAAGTTTCTTCCTTTGATAAATTACAAAGTGTTTGACCTTCCATTCAAATTGATATCCATCAATTCAAAGTAAATTGTCTTGAAAGAAAACTTTTATTATATAAGGTGATGTAGATTAGTGAAATAGAAGATTATGTTAATTGTAAGATGAAGGTTGTGTTTAGAAGTGTAAAAGAAATTAATGACTCAAATTCTTTTGATTTTATTGACAATAATCGGAATTATATTTTAAGAAAGGTTAATGTGTTTTGAACTGAATTTAAAATACCGAAGGTTCAATTGACAAACCTTTTGAATATTCAAGTAGTTAAAAATTAATTTAAAATAATATCAAGATAGACCCAAAAGGAGTGAATAAAATAGCAAAAGATCTAGATCTTATTTCTGATCATATAAGAATCATAGAGTTAAGTCTATATTAGAAAAAGAACATCTATACTTCAAAAATATAAGCCAAATCATAATCAAAATTTCAATTTCTTTGTTCAAAATAAGAGCACTTCCTCCACATCCATCAAGTTCTTAAAAGAAAGCTTTATATCCACAACAATAATTGAGCAAAAGTATAACAAGAGCAATAAAATTGAAAAGCTCATTGAACCATAAAGACAAGCATAAAAGGAAAAAGGAAGTGAATTTCCTCAGCATGTATCGTCACGCAGTTTTAAAACGAGAAGAAATGAAGAAAATTAATTGCGAAAATATTGATGACAGACTGATTTTCTTCCACATCGCTTTAATCTTCTTCCTCAGCATTTACCTTTTTATTTTCTTTTCATTGATTTTACTCACGTAAATATAAACACACGCGTATTGATTATGTCTCTGCGCAATATTCCTATTGTTGACTTTTTTATGTAAAGAATTCCACATCTAAGATTGTTTTTATCGCATTTCTCCTTTTTTTTCCTTTAAATTACATTTCGTGCTTAAACATATATTTAATGTTTTATCGTATTTCCATGCATTGGTGATTTGTTGAGACGGAAAACGACCCTTGTTAACATTGAAATCGCTGAAAATCAAACTTGTAATAGAGAAAAGCTGATGATGGTCGCATAATGTCATTTGTACTGTGTATATACAATATAATATGGAGAGGAGATGAAGGATTTATACAAAAAAAAAATTTGTTTAAGGTTCGACATAAGCAGCAGAGCGTAAGTGAATCCTTTTTGGAATGGGATATAATGACTTGAATATTACCATAGTTTACAAACATTCCTAACGATTCTAATCTTGCCTATGAAGACAGGACAAAGAAGAAGAAATTTTTTGCACAATTTCCGATGCTTCACAAAAGATAAAATTGGAAGTGAGAGAAGCCCTTTTGGCATCTTTGTTTTTGTCGTTGTCGTGAAAAGGGAAAAAATAAATTATTTTTTATGAATAAAGAGAAATTTTTAATCAACGGATCATTACCAAAGTTGGACATCGACTTTCATCATTTTCCATTCGCAAAGCGCCAATATTTAAGCAATAAATATTTAATTTAATATTTTTTAATTTGAAACCTTTTTTTAAGTGCGAGCAAAGTCATTTTAATGTAGAAAAAATGCAAGAAAATACTTTAATTTAAAATTCAAAATTTTTGTAGTTTTTGAAGTAAAAACTTTCAATATCAAAACGATAATCCTAAGAAAGTTACAAAAAAATGTCGTCACCATTCCCTGATTCAGCAAAGTTTGTGGCACACTGAAAACAAGCTTTCATTCTTAAATTTAAACATTATTTGTGCATTTATTCAATAAAATTGAATTGAGATTTTTCTCGTTTTTTTCTTCCTCAATTCAAAAGCATTTTTTCTAGAAGTTTCCATAATTTTCTCATTTTCTCTTGTATATTAAGTACACAAGTACAATGTTGTAAATAATCTATCAAGCATTCAATTTATTTCCATTATATTCCTTCAGCAGCTTCTTTATTCACGCTGATTCTCGCTTGAAAGTTGAAAATAATAATAAATTATTCTCCTTTTTATTTTAATTACTTCATCATCATTCTTAATTTTTTCATTCCTTTACATCTCTCCATTCTCATTCATTCAATTTATTATATTTCAATAAAATAATATGAAAAGCATATTCATAACGAAATGAAAAATATTTCAAGTGCGAAGATTCTTGTTTGAATTTCAATTAAATTTAAACAAAATTCTTTCTGTTCTTTCCTAATTGTACTTATCCTTTCTGACTCAAGCACGTGTAAAAATTAAAAGTTCTTTTGAGAATAATTTAATTTTGGTGTCTGAAGTGAGAAATTCTTCCATTTCAGAAAAACAGAACTGAGAAATAACATGATAATTAGTTGAGCAGCAATTACTTAAACACTATCCACAATCTACAGTAAAAGTTTTTCTGTCAGACATTCAAAACACTTGTTTACTCTTGGTTTACTCACTGAATTTAAGGTTTTTGAGTAAGGAGATTAATCTCATTAAATTTGAAAAGAAATAAAATCTTATTCAATGGTGGGGGATCAGGTGGTAGAATCTGAGGTCATTTGCAGTTCAGTAAAATAGAGATAATCTTTTTAAATTTGTTTCAAAAATTTCCTTTAAAGAGATTAGTTATGAGAATTAATATTGAGAAAGAAATAAAGCCACTAAAGCAGTTTTTCTCAAACTTTTTTTGGGATACGAAACAAAATGATTTTAATAACATTTATTAAGTCACAAAACATGAAAATGATAGATTTCAAATTCTTTCGCATAACATTAGTGTGCCACGGAAACACTCGCACAGACACAAAACCTTTAAAATAAGTAATTCTTCAATTTTAAATTTTTAAAGTCCCTAATTTACTAAGTCATCAACTTACTTTTTGATATTATCTGCATAATAATGATCTATGTCATATCCATGTCCACAAAGACATAACATATACTGATTTAGATAAAACTTTTAAATTTGCTAAAACTTTATCATCACCTTTCATATTTTATTTATTTTATCACTAATGAAAATCATCAATTAAAAGGTTGTGCAGCATGGATGAAACTCTTGATATACGAACTTTAAAAAAATTCTATTACATTCATTCATATCTAACCCACAGGCTGAGAGAAGCACAAAGAATCAAAATGTCACGCTCCTTATTCTTGAATACACAACCTAACTTAATTAGCATACGAACTTCATCCCCACAACAGCAACAACAACAGCAATTCAAGGAAGTGTACATGTTGAACGTCTGAAGTTTACCTTTCACAATTTCACACGGTTCACAAAATTTAAACGAGTCAAAAAAGATTAAAATAAAGTGAAGTAAAAGAAGAAGAAATAAATTTATAAGAAGGCACTTCTGCTCGTTTGTATAACATCGTAAGAAAATGAAAAATCTCCTTGGTATCACTAACAAGCTGCTTTCAGCTGCTCGTATGCTTCTCGTACCCCATCTTGAGTGTATTGTAAAATAAAAAAATAGATTTTTCTTTCCTTCTCTCAAGTCACACTCAGAACAAGACAAAAGTTGTAAAGGAAATTTTTATTGAATGGAATGAAGTGCATTTGTGTCGGATGTGATTCGAATTGTCTATGCTTAGAAGCATCTATGATTATGTTGGAAATTGTGCTGAGTTACTCCTTTGATGAAAATACACGAGTCAAAATTTAAAAGTTTTGGGGGCAAAATTTTCAACAGTTTTTTAAAATTCAAATATTATATGAAAAAATTTAACGGTTTTGAAAATTTCAAATTTTAATAATCTCTCAACATAATTTTAAGTTCCCAATTCGTTACTAGGTCATCAACTTATTCAGTCAATAATCAAATAAAAATCACACCGCAGTATTTCCAAAAAAAAAGCTATCCCACAAAAGAGCGAAAAGCGTGTCAGTTACTCAAACAGCGTACATGAAGAGAAGAGAAGCATGTTCACCGGAATGTGAATTCCATGTTATGAAGGCAATGATAAGATAAGGAAGTGGAAAAAATTGAAAGTGCTTTACATTCTCCATTCTTACCACTTCTCATTCCTATACTTTACTATTTCGTGAACACATTTGTGCTCTGTATGTGAACTCATTCCTATTGTGCTTGATATCAAAATGCAATTTGTTCTTGTGCCAAATCAAATTTGAGTGAAAGAAAAGTTTTTTAAGAGAACAAATAAAAAAAAGTTGGAACTTAGGAAAAAGAAAAATACAAAACTTTGTGTAGGATGTCAATAGTTATTTACAAATCACTGAAGCTTCTCATATTATTCATGATTTGTGCTTCATGCTATGGCAATATGGAGATGAACGGCGATAATAAAACAATAATTGATCGTCCTTATTGCTTTCGTTTTACATGGCTCGGACCCAAATATAACGAAGAGAGCAAGTTCAGAAATGCGACATGTAGTGATGTCATTAGGGGAGATAAAAATGTTCCATGCACGCATCCTTTAGTTGTTACAAGTCAGTATGTAGTTTTTATATTTACGATGCTGTAAATTGCTACCACATTTGGGTTTTATTTTGAATATTTGTTCAGTCAGTGTATGAGTTTAGTATTGATTTCTAGAATATATGAGTGTTTTTTTTAAAGGTTAGCTAGGCTTCTTATTTATTTGGGCCAAAACTGTTTAAGTCATCAGCCATTCCGTTCTGTCCTATACTTTTAAACATTTTAAATACTTTTGCCAGGGGTACAAATCGGGTCCACTTATCAGAGTTAATTAAATTAACTCGCAATAATTGGTCTCATACGTCATTTTAAAATGACCAAGGCACACCACACCAATTTCACTGAAATCCTGTTGAAAAAGATATGACTCATAGCTTAAAGTTTTAAAAAAATATATCATATCAAAAAATTAGATAAAAAAATTCTTCGAAGAATGAGTCGCAAAAATTCATAGGAAATAGAACGAAACCCCCCCCCCCCCCCTCAAAAAACCAAAATAAGAACACTGAGAAAGAAAAACACAATAAAACACAAGAAATTTTTCTTAGAATAAAAAAAGCTAGAGAAAAGTAAAAAGATTCATTAATCACATTGTAGATAACAGCAATATACCAGACACTGAATATTTGTGGAGAGAATATCAAGACAAACCCACACAAGTTGCATGTCGATTGGTTCGAGGCGAGGTTTGTGCCAAAGTCTCATACACATTCAATGGAGCGAGTGAGTTTGATAAATGAAATTAAAATCAAAGAAATTGAGATTGTATGTATATATTCTCCATGTTCTATGACTTGAGATTTTCGCCTATGGCAAGGACTATTGAATTTTCATCCCTTCTTCTGTAGTGCTTGTCTTATGGCTTTCATAGCTAGAGTTGGCAATGTCATGATGTTTTAAGTTACTTGTCATATTGACAATACTCTGTTTAATGAGTAAGAGATTGGTTTCTACTGGGAATCGAACTTACACACTCACGATAAGTAGTTTTATATTACAGAGAGATTGTCTTATCATTCTTCTACTGAGACATTCCTTTCGTACTGGCAGATTCGCCTACATATGACATGGATCACCCAATTTAATTCCACTATGATACTAATTTCCATTCGGAGCGTCAGTATGTAGATAGAACAGCATCAGCATGTTTTAGTGATTTCTGAATTGCAAAGTACACGTTCTGTAGATATAAATTTCCAAATATATCTCCTTTTATGCCAACTCTGTCAGCCTTACATCCTTTAGATTAGCAGAGAAAATATTGTAAATCTCCTTAGTCAAGCTAGATGAATAATGAAAAAAAAAATTTATACATTCATGATAAACTTTAAGAATTATGGAAGTTGATAAACAATATCCAGTCAGTCCATAAATTTAAAAATTCAAGTCATTTTTCAAATTCATAATTATGTAATTGGCACTTTCAATTTTTCTGCTTATTTAACAGTTGAGAACATCACGTATTTATGTACGAAAGTAAATATAGAAAATGAGACAGCGGTGAGCAGTGGATGTTATAAGCAAATGAAAAATGGACATGAGATGGAATTATGTGTATGTGAAACAGCAGCAGGGGAATTTCCATGCAACGATGCATACATCAACTCGTACCTAAAATTTAATTTACTCATTCTCATTATTTTAATGGCCACATTCCTTATTAATCCTCTTAAGTATGTGTGATGTTTATGTGGAGATAAAATTATTCATCACTTCATCATTTTGGACTGTTAATTTAAACTTTTTTTAAGCCAATAGCTTTAAAATTTCTAAGCGCATTTAAATATTTTCACAAAAGCATAATGTACATGACACAGCTAAAATGTCATTATACTCAATTAAGAGTTGAAAAATAAATAAACTGAATGTTGAATTCTCGCTTACCTTTTCCTATGGAGGAATAAAATAAACAAAAATAAGAAACTCATTATAATGCTGTTTTTGCTCATTTACTGGCTTTAAAATTAAAATGGGATGCTTTTTGTTGGATTTACATTTTAAGGCGCATTATTAAGGTTTATTTGAATTTAAAATATTTTTAAAAAAACTCTAAATTGGCATTTTCCATGACCTAGTGATATATCCACAAGACTAAAATGACCTAGTAATATAGCAATCAAGAAGCAAGGTTCTTGGGTCTAAGTCTTGGTTCTATACCTTGCTGTTAACTTATTAAACTTCAGGGCTTCCTATAAACATAAGGCTGATCCTTAATATCATTTCCGAACATGTCCTTGACCTAACGTGTTGCGGTCAAAAGCACTCCCTTAGCAACACAGCACCCATAAAAAAGGTGCTAATAATGAACTTTTTTAATCACAAAAGCTCCATTCTCGAATGGGTTTAGGAGAATAATTGCTTTAAAAATGGAATGAAAGGCATTGAAATGTACATAAAGCAAGCACATTATCCCTTTTTCACACATGCTTCAGCACAATAATACAGAATTTGACTTCTTTTAAATATGCCATATAATATTCTTCTTTTATTTAAATAAATGATGGAAGTTGATGCTTTTGGCATTTTAATGGTGGCTAAATCCTCTGCTATGTACTTTTTTGCTGCCTCTGCCTCGGCCCCACATCAAGAAATTTTTTTCTTAGTACTTATCAGTATTTTCATCTGCTGGCAGCTGTGTGCTTGAAAAATACGAAAGGAAACTCTATGATACAAAAACTTTTTACTTTCTCCTTGATTGTTTATGATTGTTTAACTGCTCAAAGAAAATTTTCTTTCTACTTTCTCTAAGGGGGAAACAACATGATGAGAAAATGCTTTGATTTGAAATTTTCAATAGTTTTTTATTACGATGGAAAATGGAGAGGAATTGATGAAAAATTTTATTGCAACTTTTTTCCATCATATTGTTTTCCCCTTGGCTTTATCTCTCGCTGTTTTACGTTAATTAATTTCATAGCATATTTAATTATATGTAAATGAGAACCGACATTTAGGCACATGAATAAACTGTTTACTGTTTACACAATACGGATAAGTAAGTTGAAAAAAAGTTTAATGAAAGCTTTTTCTACAAAGGAATCTTATGTCTGGTGTGGGATATATCAAAAGTTGCTTGAAGTTCATTTAATGTTAAGTCACAAAAAATAAAGGATAACATCAAAACAATATCTCAATGATTTTTACTAGATACACCATATGTAGGTTGGCAATTCAGAGATGCCAGTTTGTTGCTAATTTATTTAGCTTCAGAATTAATAATTTAATTTTTTTCGAATAATAATTCTTAAAGTACTCATAAATGACCTGCATTAAAAATGGGATTTATTCCTTCCTTCTGGTTTTCTAGTTATTCTAGTTTAAAATTCTTAAATTAGCCCATGAAAAGTTTTCCCGATTGTAAACTTGAGGATATACTCGACTTTAATTTTTTTTCATCGCTAAAAGAATGAAACTAAATTCAAAAAAAAAAGATAGAAATAAAAAATAAATTTCTAGAAGTGTCAAAGTCAATTAAACTTTATGAATAATTGATGCTTTATTAACTTACATTAATGCCTCATAAGCCTCATAATATCTACATTATCTTTACACCATTTAAGTTGTTTCACATTACTAATCAAATAACCTCGTATGTCCATTAAGATTAGCATCGCATGAATTATTAAAACATGAGTGTTTGCTTACCGAACGATGTGTGATAATTGATGAAAAGTAATATTTTAGTAGTGCTTGCATGATGGATAATAAGACAGCAACTAATGTTGATAAGCGCATTGTCAACATCTTCTAAAATGATTTTAATTCTGAAAATTTAATATCGATAGATGTAGGCAGGCTGTGAAAAGCATTTTTGATGACGTTTAATTATTCATAATAGGCACAGCTTACAGCTTTTCCCAATTTTAATAAATCATGACGATCTGATTCTGAATAATTTTTCATAAATATAAAACTAGGAGGAAATAGCACTTCGTATTGTATGTTTCATCACAGGATATATGAAAATATATTGTTACTTTTATTCATGTGAAAACTTTATGAATGAATATTTACATCGTATGGATATTAATCATCGATGATGATGTACGATGAATGTTCAGAAATGAAAATTTTAAAAGCTATGCAAATGGAAATGTTAACGTTTTTTTGTGATGTTTCTTGGGTAGGTTTAAGCTGCATTTTGGGTAAGTTTATAAATTTTAGGAATTCTTTGAAGCAGGGTTCCAAAGAAAACAGACGTGGAACAAAAGGGGTGATAAATTAACCAGTCTTCAACTTTTGAGGCAAAGTTGTCAGTTCTATAGTGCAAAAATTAATTATGACCGTTGTGTTTATGGTAATTATGCTTAGATGTAGATGTAAAGAATTTGTATCAAAACTACAAAAGAAAGATTTTTAGCTAGTATTTGGCGATTAATCAGTACCATAAATAGGATTTTTGGAGCCAGGAAAAAATTAAAATGTGAATTTAATATTAAGCCCATTTAAGCATTTTTGATGCCGTCTTGTGTGGGTCTTTTTGTAAATTATTAGCGTCTCCCGACTCCAATCTCCATTTTATTCAGAATTTTTACCCCACTTATTGTAATTAAATCAATATTTCAAAACCTCTAAATTCATTCCTTTACTGCTGAAATGCTTCTTAAATCACATAGCGTCAAATAGTCTGTTAAAAAATATTTTTATTGCTTCATGTCGCTTAAACAGTAAAATAAGACAAATGTAAATCTAAAACAATCCAACTTTAAAAATTTCTTAAATCAATAAATTTTCCAGAATTTTTAAGATTCATTGAGGTGCATCGAGGGATATCCATATTTGTGTAAATAATGAGTTTGTTTATTTGGCACCACATAGTTCGGTTTGTTCTTAAAAACTACAATATTATTAGCACTTATTAATTTTGTTTGATTCACAATTGATTAATGAAGTTTATAGAATAAAAATAGCACAGATGATTTTTAATAAATCTTTGATTTTTATGAATTCAATGAAGAATGATTCATCATATAAAAATAAGAACTTCTATTAAACTGGTATCACAATAGGAACTGCGCAGCATCAAATATCAATCAAAAATGTGTTAGCATGTTAACTTGTTTTTATGTGTTCGCACGACTGAATGGATGAGAATCAAATATGAGCGAAATTAGCCTCATAAATATTTCGTTTAGCGTCCTTTTTATATGCCATTCTGTCATGCCAATATTTCAACTGAAGAATCTCTTATACGACTGAAAAGCTTTCGATGGTATGCTGCTCGATTTTAAGATTGATACATTATTCGATGACACATTTTTTCGATCAATCATTACATCACTGTCATTGGATTTATATGGAACATGAAATAAGACTTCAATGCTTATACGACATGGATATTTTGGCTCCTTTGGCATCTGCTTCAGACACACTTCCTCGTTCGTTGTCATTGTCACTGTTTGAATATCTTTTTGTTCCATTTCAATATTCAATGAATTTATTTCGGATATATTCCAACGTAACATTATCCTTCGCAACAAGTGTGAATGTGAAATTTTATGTTCATTTATCTGATGAACACGCTTTACAATCAGCGTACGTCCATCGAAGAACATTGCCAAGTCAAATGCGAATGAAAAGCCAATAAATTTCCATGAATGGTAGTCAGGCTTATCGATTATTTTGGAAAATCGCATTGCATATTCCTCAAACTCACATTCATTGACAAGTTCTAGTGTTGGGCCAAAATTATCAGGCGATTCAATCGATATTAATGACATCCAATTTTGAAAAATACACATATCAATCATATTACGAGGAATTATGTTGTCCTTTATGATTATTTCAACATTCTCCTTTCTTATAACTAAATTACACAATCTTAAAGTTTTAAAGACACTTGAGAATTGTTTGCCTTCCTTACGTAGTAAAAATGGTAAATTGTGGCTTCGAATTTCTCCATAAAATTGTTCATTCTCCTCCATGCACGTATTCTTCATTTGAATTTGTATGAGCATTCTCAGTACATAGTAAAGGTACATTTCATTTGGCGTAACTAGTCGTGCATTTTTAATGAGCATTTCAGCCAGCTCTAGTGTAAGGAAATTCAATTGATCCCAACATTTGACAGGAAATAGTCTGAGTAACATCCATTGAAAGACAAAATCTTTTGTCTTACTCAAAAAGTATCGATCAGCAAAATGATAAATATCAATACAATTTGAGCTTCGAATCATCTCGATAATCTTTGACTCACAATATTCAACAATGTTGTGCATTTGAAAATATTGCGCAGTAACAACAAGATGAAAGATTTCATCAGGCACGAGATCAACATCACGATCATACATTGCATCAATTAGTTGACTAAAAGAATTTTCCGTAATTAGAAAATCATCAGTATGTAGCTGGATTTCATTCATTTTTGACTCCTTAAACGGTGCATTTGTTAAGGTCCGAAAAAAATTACTCTGATTTAGAATGTTACGATGACAAGGCCACTCACGACCGAACGCTAATAAAGTTATATCTGGCTTTCCAAGCTCTTCAACTACGCAATTTGTATTCAAACGAAATCTTAAAGGTACAAAAGAAACAAGAAGAAAATAACTTTACTTTGTTTCGTAATAGACCGACTTTACATCAATCTTACCTTTTTGGCTCATGATCATCGTGATTATCATTGGAATTTCTCCTCTTACGTGATGCATTGGAATGCTTATTGAATAGGGAAATGCCCAAATAATTTCCCATCCTGAGTTTATAGAAAATTCTTAATTTTAATTCACAAAACAAGCTTAAAAAAAATATTGTCTAAGCGATAAAAAACACTCGAAAAGATTGAAATTTGAATAGCATGAGCGCGCGAGATGCTATGGTGTGTGTTTGTGTGGCTATTATTTAAGCATAAGATACACGATATACATTTGATAATGCTTTACACATTCTCAGTTTTAGAGTTCGTCGACTTTTTTGGGACTTTTTAATAAGTGTGTAACACTATGAACAATTCTAGCTTATTGTCATTTAAATATTAATAGTTGTTCATACTTAAAAGAAACAAAAATTTTGCACATTAAACTTGTAGCGCGACTACGACGTCACATTAACTTCATTACTCCCCTTTGTTTGTCAAAACAAAACTAACACAATACAAAAGAGCATGCTGCATTGTTGATACGAGTCACGACACTATCGGCAAGTCTGTGAACTACTAAAAAATCAGCTGTTTGCCATATCAGTCTGTAAATCAGTGCTATTATTTCCAAAGAATTTAATTTATTCTAAATTTAATTAATATTAAGGAATGTCATCGAGTAAATTTGTGAGAAAAGTTAAGGCATTAGTCAAAGTGACATGCTATGCTGGATTCATTTCTGGTGGTTTGCTCTATTATAGAAATGACGAAAAATTTTTCAGACAAATTTTGATGCCATTGAGTAGAGTAGCTATGAGTCCAGAAAGTGCTCATAAATTTGGGATTTTTCTATGTAAATGGAACTTGATTCCCAAGAACGATTATGAGGATTTGCCAGTTCTTGTAAGTAATATAATTAATAATAATAATAATATAATATTTATTGTAACTTTTCATTGGAATTAAGGTCGATTGATGTCTGATGGTCATTTTTAATTTTTTATGAAATTCAGACTAAAATATGAGTTTGACCGTGAAGTTAAAGCATAGTCACATGATATTTATCTGACACTGATCAAACATTTCAAACAACTTCTTATTGAAAGAATCAAGATCTATTTCAAATCCAATCAAAACATTAATAATTTTTTTCAAAATCTTTGTTGGTGAAGATTAAAATTATTATAAGGTCAATAAATCAATTTAGATTATTAGCTCCTCTTTTCAAAACACATACCTTCACTAAAAAGACCATCGAACTTGTCTTAATTCCCTCCTATAATTAGCTTTATCGATAACTAGCTGTTGCCAATTTTAAAATCCAAAATTCTAACCGAAACCTTAATAATTTCAACAGTCATCAACAATATGTGGCATAAAGTTAAACAACATTGTTGGACTTGCTGCTGGCTACGACAAAGATGGTGAAGCAATCAAAAGTCTTCACAAATTAGGATTTGGTTTCATCGAATTAGGAACAATAATGCCAGAGGAAGAGTATGGAGAAAATGCGAAAAAATCCACACTTCAATTAGTAGAAGACGAAGCTATCTTAAGTTCCTATGACAACAACAGCTCCAAAGGCCATTCATTTCTTGTTCCAAAGATGAGAACATTGAGACGACGAGAAGAGTATAAAGAAATAATTGGATTTAATATTGGAAAGAATAAAAAGTCAAACTACGTCAACGACATCTCATTAAATGTTAAAGTTTTTAGTCCCGTTGCGAACTACTTAGTCATAAACATTGACTCAGAATCATTGTCCGAGAACTTATATGATGACTTAAAGAAGAAAGAAAACTTAAGGACGGTATTAATAGAAGTAAATAAAGCCCGAAAACTTTTCGATGAAGAGAAGCAACGACCGATTTTCCTTAAGCTCTCACCGGATCTTACAAACAATGAGCTAAAGGATATTGTCGATGTAACAAAAGAAAAAAATTGTGCTGTACATGGTTTCATAATTTCCAACTCAAAACTTGACTATAATTTTAATCTACAAAGTAAATATCATGATATACAGAACGGACGATTAAGTGGTAAGCCATTGAGGGAAAAATCAACAAAGATGATAGAAGAAGTTTACAAACTAACAAGCGGTAAGGCTGCTATTATTGGTGTTGGTGGAATACTCTCAGGTAGAGATGCTTATGAGAAAGTTCTAGCTGGCGCAAGTGCTTTACAAATTTATACAGGTTTCATACTGTACGGTCCACCTATAGTAAATAAAATTAAACGAGAACTAAGTGAATTGCTCATTAATGATGGCTATAAAAATGTAAGTGAAGCTGTAGGAAAAAACGTTAAACTACAACAAAAAAGATTTAATTGGATACCATTCTTGAGATGAATGTGGTTTTAAAGTACAAAACTATTGAACTTATAGATTAAATTTTTATTACCAAATTAAAAAATGAGGCTATAATTAAAGTAATTAATTGAGAAGCTAATTGGATGTATTGGCAAGTAGAGTTAAAAATTGTTTTGTTTCTGAATGGAATTTAATATGAAAATTAGAAACTTAATCGAATGCGCCCAAACTTAAATCCAAGGATCAAGTATGAACTCTTTGAACTCTTATACCTGTAACTCCATGAAAATAACGCAATTCAGCACAAAATTTTAATTTCACATTAAAATAAAATATCATCATCAACATATTATGTTCAATCATGTAAAGGACTTCTATGTGACATATTTATTTATTACAATAGTTTCCAATAAAAATGATCTAGAAATGTGCAAATAAGATTTTTTCTTTCTTATAAATCGAATCATTTATGTCAATATATATTTTTATCGACCATTAACCTATTATTCCATCCACGTACATATGTGCTTTTCAGCTATCCATTTTTTCCACAAATAAATTTGCGACGATTTTGTATGTAATTGGGTCAATTCGATTGCAATGAATCCTTCCTCGACCAAAAGTTTTTATTTTATTATTCAGAATATGATTTAGTTTTCTCTTTCCTTTATGCTTGTCATGAGACTAAATCAACATAAAAGTGATTCATGTTCAGCATAAATCAATTCTAATCGCATCGTTTCCAATCTCAATTATCAGCACTGTAGAATTCAAATAATGACTTGAAGACATGTTTTTTTCTATTGACAGAAACGATCTTGAATGTACAATTTTCGTTTTGAAATGATAACAAATTAAGGAATGACAAGGTACATAGATGACTTGTGTGACAAATTTTCTGATTAAATTAAAATTGAAATACTACAACATTAAATCTCATATGTATAATCTAAAATTCCAAAATAATGTAAATTTTGTACTTTAGCATATTAAATTCTTTGTGACATTGAGAAGACAAGCATTCTCGAGTTCTTTATCTTTTTCCTCAAGCGATGCTACGACACAACATTAATGTGAATGTAGAATGTCAGAGTTAAGAATCGTTCCAACTTCAAAGAAGTGTACAAAGCGCTTTTATTTCCAAAAAAAATTTTAATCAACTCAGAATCCTCATAAATAAGGATTTCACATTCCACCATTTTGACAATCATTATTGTCCTATGCATGGTAAAACCAGTAAAAACATACTCTATGAATAAAATCTACGTACGCTCGGTGACACAACGAATTGACTAAGTGAGGAACAGATGATTTATTAGTATGACAGTACAAAATGGAAACAAAGAAACATTTCCCCCGAGAATCTAGCTGTAAATGATGTACATACAGTGTGAAAAAGAGTCTGTTAGGCTCTGGTGTAAATGATTTCATATTCTTGTGCATTCTTTTTCAAAAACGACTATTAATCGTATTCATGAGAAATATTAGAATCGAGAGTAGAATAGGAACACAATTTTTAGATGCTGCTTGAAGGATTGTAATTAGATGTAGAGTTGCTATTAAAGGAGTAATTCATAATTATGAATTTTCCTAGATCTGAACCAAGCTCAATTCAATAAATTTTACTTTATAATCACAGGTGAAGTTCACAACTTCAACTGTTCATTTTTTGACCCAAATAGAACTCTCTCTTTTGCTGCATGTATCTAGATCTACAATACGATTTAAAATGAAATGAAATTCAAATAAAGGCAAAGTTAATCTTGGACAAATTGATGTTATACATAATTTAAAGCTCATTTCATTTAAGGAACATGAAGCGTGATGAGAATTCACCGTTTCTATATCAGACAGCCAGAACTTGATTAAGATAACCACCAAAAATAAACTTTCATTAAAATATGTCAAGACTCTTAATATATCCATTTTGTTCTATTGCTTGTGTCTACTCGTTTCCTCAATCTTTTTTTCATTTTAATTGCACTTTATTGCATTTATTGACGACATACTGTCCGGAAATAATTCACATTTTACACTTTTGTATTTGTATACATATGAATTAGCATTATGTAGGATCAAACTTCTAATCTTCATATCTAGGTTTCAAATAAACTAAGGCTTTCGTTTCGATCTTTTGTGGGCGTGACGTGATACTTTTAATTTAAATTTTCATTTTGTTGTGCAAAACGTTTGCACTCTAAGGACCCAAAAAAAAAATTGTGCAGGACGGTGGGGCATTTTCTCTTTTGAAAGGTACAGAAATGAAAATAATACATAAAATAAATTAATTTTAAAATAATACCTTGATTTTGTGTAAAGTCCCAGCCTTCAGCGATGCATTCTCATCCTATCGTACCATACTTTCAAACATAGCCCATGGAAGTATTGAACCTATTCTAGAAAAAAAAGGAAAAAAAAAATTAAGTACAAAACCAGAAAATGCAAATTAAGTTTACACCTCAGTCCAGTTTCAACAAATTGATGAAAATTAGTACTCTTAAATTAGAACTGTTCACTACTCATGTTGAATGCCAGCAATTGACTTTGAGCATTTGCACAAATTTTCCTTTTGAAAGCTCGTTGAGATAATATTAATGATTCTAGATACTGTGGTGATTGGCTCCATACATCTGATGACTGTGATGCTGAGTTGTAACGTTGAATTGTCCTATGTGCCACATCGTCATCAAATCCAGTTAACGAAAGTTTACGCTTTCGACTATTTTGAACTTGTTGCTGCGATGATCCCTCATTTTTGTTTTTGATATACATTATTCAGGCTGTTCTCGTCCTATCTATCATAGCTTTCAGATGAAATTCAATCTTTGCAGATGCTGCTAGTGTCCGATTCCTTGCTCTTCTTTTCCGCTTTTTTGTCATCCAGCTTCTTCTTGATTATTGTCAGGTTCCTCAGATTCTCCTAAAATGAAATTAAATTTGAAAATAAGATTGAGTAAAATTAAATTAAAATTTTCATTTTGTTGTGCAAAACGTTTGCACTCTAAGGACCCAAAAAAAAAATTGTGCAGGACGGTGGGGCATTTTCTCTTTTGAAAGGTACAGAAATGAAAATAATACATAAAAAAAATTAATTTTAAAATAATACCTTGATTTTGTGTAAAGTCCCAGCCTTCAGCGATGCATTCTCATCCTATCGTACCATACTTTCAAACATAGCCCATGGAAGTATTGAACCTATTCTAGAGAAAAAAGGAAGAAAAAAATTAAGTACAAAACCAGAAAATGCAAATTAAGTTTACACCTCAGTCCAGTTTCAACAAATTGATGAAAATTAGTACTCTTAGAATTAGAACTGTTCACTACTCATGTTGAATGCCAGCAATTGACTTTGACCATTTGCACAAATTTTCCTTTTTAAAGCTCGTTGAGATAATATTAATGATTCTATCTGATGACTGTGATGCTGAGTTGTAACGTTGAATTGTCCTATGTGCCATATCGTCATCAAATCCAGTTAACGAAAGTTTACGCTTTCGACTATTTTGAACTTGTTGCTGCGATGATCCCTCATTTTTGTTTTTGATATACATTATTCAGGCTGTTCTCGTCCTATATATCATAGCTTTCAGATGAAATTCAATCTTTGCAGATGCTGCTAGTGTCCGATTCCTTGCTCTTCTTTTCCGCTTTTTTGTCATCCAGCTTCTTCTTGATTATTGTCAGGTTCCTCAGATTCTCCTAAAATTAAATGAAATTTGAAAACAAGATTGATTAAAATTAAATTAAAATTTTCATTTTGTTGAGCAAAACGTTTGCACTCTAAGGACCCAAAAAAAAAAAATTGTGCAGGACGGTGGGGCATTTTCTCTTTTGAAAGGTACAGAAATGAAAATAATACATAAAATAAATTAATTTTAAAATAATACCTTGATTTTGTGTAAAGTCCCAGCCTTCAGCGATGCATTCTCATCCTATCGTACCATACTTTCAAACATAGCCCATGGAAGTATTGAACCTATTCTAGAAAAAAAGGAAGAAAAAAATTAAGTACAAAACCAGAAAATGCAAATTAAGTTTACACCTCAGTCCAGTTTCAACAAATTGATGAAAATTAGTACTCTTAAATTAGAACTGTTCATTACTCATGTTGAATGCCAGCAATTGACTTTGAGCATTTGCACAAATTTTCCTTTTTAAAGCTCGTTGAGATAATATTAATGATTCTAGATACTGTGGTGATTGGCTCCATACATCTGATGACTGTGATGCTGAGTTGTAACGTTGAATTGTCCTATGTGCCACATCGTCATCAAATCCAGTTAACGAAAGTTTACGCTTTCGACTATTTTGAACTTGTTGCTGCGATGATCCCTCATTTTTGTTTTTGATTTACATTATTCAGGCTGTTCTCGTCCTATCTATCATAGCTTTCAGATGAAATTCAATCTTTGCAGATGCTGCTAGTGTCCGATTCCTTGCTCTTCTTTTCCGCTTTTTTGTCATCCAGCTTCTTCTTGATTATTGTCAGGTTCCTCAGATTCTCCTAAAATTAAATGAAATTTGAAAATAAGATTGATTAAAATTAAATTAAAATTTTCATTTTGTTGTGCAAAATGCTAGCACTCTAAGGACCCAAAAAAAATTTGGGCAGGACGGTGGAGCGTTTTCTCTTTTGAAAGGTACAGAAATGAAAATAATACATAAAAAAAATTAATTTTAAAATAATACCTTGATTTTGTGTAAAGTCCCAGCCTTCAGCGATGCATTCTCATCCTATCGTACCATACTTTCAAACATAGCCCATGGAAGTACATCCTATTCTAGTACACCTATTCTAGAAAAAAAAGGAAGAAAAAAAATTAAGTACAAAACCAGAAAATGCAAATTAAGTTTACACCTCAGTCCAGTTTCAACAAATTGATGAAAATTAGTACTCTTAAATTAGAACTGTTCACTACTCATGTTGAATGCCAGCAATTGACTTTGAGCATTTGCACAAATTTTCCTTTTTAAAGCTCGTTGAGATAATATTAATGATTCTAGATACTGTGGTGATTGGTTCCATACATCTGATGACTGTGATGCTGAATTGTAACGTTGAATTGTCCTATGTGCCACATCGTCATCAAATCCAGTTAAGGAAAGTTTACGCTTTCGACTATTTTGAACTTGTTGCTGCGATGATCCCTCATTTTTGTTTTTGATTTACATTATCCAGGCTGTTCTCGTCCTATCTATCATAGCTCTCAGATGAAATTCAATCTTTGCAGATGCTGCTAGTGTCCGATTCCTTGCTCTTCTTTTCCGCTTTTTTGTCATCCAGCTTCTTCTTGATTATTGTCAGGTTCCTCAGATTCTCCTAAAATGAAATGAAATTTGAAAATAAGATTGATTAAAATTAAATTAAA